GTGTAATCACTTCCGATGGGTTTTTCGGGAATGCCGCTGCTGCATGCGACAACATCATGATGCATTCCGTGGTTGGGGAGGGGGGATAAGCGGTTAACTCATGCAGGAGGGGAGGGGGGAGGAGGAGAAGGAAGAGGGGGAGGGGGAGGAGGAGGAGGAGGGAAGCGCGTTTGCTATGGGAACTGCATCGGCGCGGACTGCTGAGAGGAGCAACGCAGCAGCCCCCGATGTATACGACGCTAGCAAGGGGAGCAACGAGCTCCTTATATATCCCACGCGAGAGCGGTTACGTCCGCTGTGTGCCCCTGCAAGCACGCTCAAAAGTCCAGATAGCTACCGCCACGGTCATGCCATCGGCAACCAACCAGTCGATGGAGACTTACTCCGAAGTGATCTGGCCAGAGCCCCAGTGGATCACTTCTTCTTGGCCCACGACTGCGTCTCGAAAGCAGCCTTGATATTCTTCATCCACGCTGTCATGTAGTTGACAGCCGTCTTAACCTCCTCCTCCTTGACGTCTGGGACGACATCCTCGTCCTCCAGGCACTTGTTGCAATGCTCCACAACATCATTCAGAAACTTATGCTTTTTGGTGGCCTCCTCAGTGTACGTCGCCGGCGCCTGAAATGAGAGGGGGCGACTCCCCCTCCTCCTCCTCCTCCTCCTCTTCCTTCTCCTCCTCCTCTGCCTCCTCCTCCTCCTCCTCCGCCTCCTCCTCCTCCTCCTCTCCCTCCTCCTCCCCATCGTCAGATCCGATCTGACTCCGTCGAGCCTTCTTCGCGCGCTCATCGCGACGAAGATCCCCCGTCTTCTTCAGCAAAGGCTTCACCGCCAACAGCACGTTGTTAACGGTCTGCAAGCCCTTGGTGCGCTTCTTCTGGTCCTCCCTTTTGCGGGCTGTCTCCTCTTTGGCCATCTCCCTGTCCATGGCTTTCTGAATCTTCTCAGCCTCGCGGGCCGCCTTCTTCTCTGCTGCGAGCTTCGCCTTGCGCTTGGCCGCAAGCTCCTTTGGGCTGAGGCCCGCGTCAGACCCTGGAAGCTCTTCCTCGTCATCGTTCTTGTCCTTCTTGTTCTTCTTGTCCTTTTTGCCTTTCTTGCCCTTCTTTCCCTTCTTGCCCTTCTTGCCCTTCTTGCCCTTCTTCTTTTTTTCCTTGTCGGAGCTCGAGGAGCTGGAGCTGTTGCTGCTGTCGCTGCTGCTGCTGCGCAGGCGCTTCTTTGAGCCATTCTGCTTCGGCAGCTCCGCTGGAGCCTCCTCGAGCGCTGCTGCTGCTCCTGCCGCTGTTGCGTTCTGCGGCTTTTCAGCTTCCTCGGCAGCCTCCAGGAAGGCTGACGCTCTGCGCTTGCGATTGCGGCCAACTTTCTTAGCTATCTCCTGCATGATGACCTCCTTGATCCTGGCCTCCGGGATCTCGTGGATCTGAACTCGGTACGTCTTCCCGAGAATTGGATGATCCTCGATGTCAGCAGCCTGTGTTTTCTCCTCAATGTCTTTCGTGTTGTATCCCAGCTTCTCGTACACAGACAAGGGCAGGAATTGCCCAGTGTGGGTCCCCGTGATGCGCTTCATGCGCACATTCATCAGCATCCCATTCATCGCGTCGCGGCAAGCAGCAGCGGCTGACCCGCAATTCTGGTAGAAATGATCTTGCTCCTCCGTGGTGAGCTCGTCGAACTCCGCAATCGGCCACCCGCCGAAAATCCTTCGAAGTGTTTGGTCGCGTACCCTGCACGTGGCACACGTGATGATCGTGCCGCCATGGGTGATCTTACAACCCTGTGCAAGCGTAGTCGTTTCCTTCTTGCACATGGATCATTTCGGGTCGCCCTGCGAGAGCAGGGCCTCAACCTCTTCCCCCCTCTTGTCGTCGTCCGGCAGCTGCTCCACTGGCACGTCCTCATCTTCAGCCTCCTCGCCCGCCTCCTCTTCAGCCTTTTCCTTTGTTGCCTCTTTGTCAGGCAGGGTGTCCCTTGTTGCCTCATTGTCAGGCTTTGTCGCCTCCTTGGTTGCCTCGGGCTGGGGCGGACAGGGCGGGCGGGCGTCGCTCGGGGATTCGGCTGGCGCGACCCCGCAGCCGAGGCCGCCGCCGGCGGGGGGGGGGCCCAGCCTGGCGCGGCAAGGGCTCGGGCGACAAGAGCGGCAAGGGCGCCGAGTGCAAGGGCAAGCACGCCGGCACGGCTGCCAAGGGCGCCAAGGGCCGCGGCAAGGGCAACAAGGGCGGCAAGGGCGGCTACCCCAAGGGCGACCAGGGCAGCCGCGCCCCGAGCGAGCGCGCCAGGGGCGGCGCGGGCAGCCGCGCCTCGGGCAGCGCAGGCCGCCGCGAGAGGGGCGGCGATGGAGGCTGCCCCCGCAGCCGCAGCGGTCGCGACGGGAACCGCAGCGGCGACGAGGGCCGTGGCCGTCAGGGGGACACGCCAGCCATTTAGGCGTGGCACCCACCCCACAGGCCAGCGCCCGCGGTGCCGCGGCTGCGGGCGGCAGGCAGCGGACCGCTGTGTGGCGGACCGCCACGCGGTGCCAGGCCCGTGAGTGAGAGGTTGAGTTTTGGGCGTGGCACGCACGTCGCGTTGCCACTCGGCCCCCTTCTTCCTGCGCCCCGCGCGGGCGGGGCCCCACTTGCGCTCTGCGCCCGGCGCGTCATCGCGCCGCTTCGTTCTCTCTTTCTTTACTTTACGCGCTTCGCGCACGCGCCGCGCCCGCGCTCTGGGCGCGCGGGGCGCGGAAGGCCTCAAGGGTGCAGGCTAGTGGCCGCGCGCGCGAGGCTCGCCGGGCCTCGGGTTCCGCCCTCGTGCCTCTGGCTGGGCGTTCCCGCGCGCGCTGCTGCGCTCTTTCTTTCTCGTGGCTGTGCGGCCGCAGGCGTGCCAGAGCGCGAGCGCGTGGGCCGTCAGGGCCCACGCGCACGCGCCGGGCGTGGGCCGTCAGGGTCCACGCCCGGGCGGAGGTGCGCGTCGCCACGCTGCCGTGAGTCAAATATCCCCCCCTCGTCCCTGTCTCCTTCCTCTCCTCCACCCCCCTTTCCGTTGAGTGCACGCGTATCTCACTTAACTTGTATAGTCTGATAGGTTTGTAGACTGCAGGTTAAGTGGGAGGGGGTGTGGGCTCAGGTGGTCATTCATTTTGGGTCCGTAACGTTCGGCTCAGGCCGACGCGCGGGTGCCCACCCACCCCGCTTTGCTCCCTGACGCCTGGGCCGCGCGGCCGCAGGCGTGCCAGAGCGCGAGCGCGTGGGCCGTCAGGCTCCACGCGCACGCGCCGGGCGTGGGCCGTCAGGGTCCACGCCTGGGCGGAGGTGCGCGTCGCCACGCTGCCATGAGTCAAATTTCCCCCCCATCGTCCCTGTCTCCTTCCTCACCCCCCCCCCCTCTCCGTTGAGTGCAGGCCCTCACTTAACGGAGGAGGAGGAGGAAGGAGGAGGAGGAGGAGGAGGAGGAGGAGGAGGAGGGAGGAGGGAGGAGGAGGAGAGGAGGAGGAGGGAGGGGGGGGAGGGGGAGGAGGGGGGAGAGGATACCGAGGATTTGAGTTGGAGGAGGAGGAGGAGGGAGGAGGGAGGAGGAGGTAGGAGGAGGAGTTGGTAGGAGGAGGAGAAGGAGGGGGAGCATGGGTGAGGAGGAGGAGGACGTGGAAGGAGGAGGAGAGGTGGAGGTGAGGAAGGAGGAGGAGGAGGAAGAGGAAGTGCATCCTTTGTGTGACCGCTCGAAGAAAGTGCGCCCCGGGAGTGTGATATTCTGACTTGGGACGTGCTCCCGGAAGAGGAAAAAGTGCGTCTCGGGCGTGCCCGCTCGAGGAAATGCGCCCTAAGGGGGGGGTGGGGGTGGGGTGGGGGGGTATTTTGACTCGGGGCCCGCTCCCAGGGCGCCTCTGCGGGAGGAGGGGGAGGAGGAGGAGGAGGAGAAGGAGGAGGAGGAGGAAGAGGAGGAGGAGGAGGGGGATGATGATGATGATGATGATGATGATGATGATGATGATGATGGTGATGGTGATGATGATGAGGAGGAGGAGGAGGAGGAGGAGGAGGAGGAGGACGAGGACGAGGAGGAAGAGGAGGAGGAGGAGGAGGAGGAAGGAGAGGCGGAGGAGGAGGAAGAAGAAGAAGAAGCATAATAAGAAGAAGAATAAGCAGAAGAAGAAGAATAAGAACAAGGACACTAATAATACTAATACTACTAATAATAATATGAAGAAGAAGAATAATAATAATACTAAGAAGAAGAATAACAAGAATAAGAATAATAATAATACTACTAAGAAGTATAAGAAGACGAATGAGAAGAAAAATGCGGATAATAAGAAGACGAATAAGAAGAATAATAATAAGGATACTAATGAGAATACTAATAATAATAAGAAGGAGACGAAGAAGAATCAGACAAATACTAATAGTAATAATAAGAAGAAGAATAGTAAGAAGAAGAAAAAGAATAATAATAATAATAAGAATAAGAAGAAGAAGAAGAAGAAGAGGAGGAGGAGGAGGAGGAGGAGGAGGAAGAGGAAAAGGAGGAGAGGAGCAGGAGGAGGAGGAGGAGGAGGAGGACCAGGAGGAGGAGGAGGAGGAAGTGCATCCCGTGCGTGCCCGCTTGAGGAAAGTGCGCCCCGGCGGGCGTCGTATCTGCCCCGGGTCCCCCCCCCTCCCCCCTCCCCCTTCCCCCCCCCCCTGCGGGGGATCAAAGGGAAGGGGCTTCCCTTCGACTCCACTACGACGTCGTTTAATTTCGTTTTGGATAGCGCGCTTGAGGAGGAGAGCCCTGGGAGGGGGAGAACGGAGAGGACGGAGACGACGAGTCGAACGGAGAAACCCCTCACACACACCGACAGGGTCGGCGGATTTTAGCAGGCGGAAGTTCAGATTCTGTTTGCGATGGTTGCGAGGCTTCGCTGGCGGCCGTGCACTGGATGCATGAGACAGTCATCTTTGAGCGAGGCGGCTCTCAGTAGGACCGGGAGAAGGCTGGGGGGGGGGGGGCGACGATGAAGATACAGGGGGGGCGGGAAGGTCAGGGGTTCCTATCGAGCCGTCCCTGGACTTTCTTCGTTTGGCGGCATTTGTTTGGCCAGCGGGCGCGAGCAAGTGGTCGCAAGCACCGCCAAAGAGAGCCACTGGTAACATTGTTTTTTGCTGAGAACCTTGGTTCGAGGTCCGAATCGTCCCAAGCCGCCTCTGCTGCCATTGCCTTGGTCGAAGAGCTCCTGGGCCCTCGGGGCCCCTCTGCTCCTCCTGTGGACCTGGGTCCTCTCGTTCCTCTGCCTCCATAGGGAGACAATGGCCAGGGCACAGATGGGCTTGAAGTCTTTCGTGAGTTGAATCACGGGCCAGCTCGGCACGGCCGAACCATTATTTGCCTGTCTTGTACGTGTTTCCTGACACTGCCCACTGGGCGGCATTGTCGTGGCCTGAAAAAGTTATGTAAAGGTGCTGCTAAGGCACGTGCAGACCGTGCGGCGTAGGTTTAGAAGCTGTTGAATGCCGAGCGCGAGAAGCACCCCACGTCTGGTGAACTCCTAGAGCCTGTGCCTGCCGTGCCGAGGCAGGGCGACGCCGCCACTGCTGCCGCTTCTCTAACGGATGGGGCTGGGGCGGTGGACTGCTCGGGGAAGGGATCCGACTCTTCTGATTGATGGGGATGTCATGCCCATCTTCCGTTTGATGTAGTTGCCGCGGAGGCTTGCCGCCGTGGTTTGGTCGCCCTGGCGGCATGCAGTGCCGCTCTGGCCCTGCTTTTGCGGCATGGTTGGCTTCCCTGCCGATCGCTCCGCCCTCACTCTGTCATCAGCGACGCGCAAGTCACTGACACGCGCTTCCGCTGTGGAATGAAATCTCGCCTTGATTCTTTAGGCTTACGCCACACCGCCGAACCCTTGTTTTTTGTTTTTTTGGAGGCAATCTTGGACGTCTTGGGGGCGTCATGGCCCGATTTTATCCCCCGCATTCCTATCGTCGTCGTCTTTGCTCCTCCTCCCAGTAGTCGGCCCGTCCCGCCACCGTGCCTGAGTTGTGGTTCAGAGGCCTCTCAGATTCAGGAGAAAGTCCAGATTCGGTGCGCGAGGTGCAAGAATTTCTTGAAGACGGAGGCGGAAGTGGCGGCGAACCAGTACGACTCGAAAGATGCGGGGGAGAGGCTTTGCAGGGCGTGCGCCCGCAACGAGAAGGGTGGGCGGAACGAGAAGGCGGACGCAGAGAATCGCAAGCGGAAAGCAGAGGCGGACGCGAAGCCGCTGACGTGCGCGGCGTGCAAAGGCGCGTTCTCGGACACGAAACATTTGAAGCAGAAGCAAGTGGAACATCATCGAGCGGCGAAAGGAGCTAAAGTGGTGTGCAGAAGCTGCGAGGAACTCGGGTTCACAGCGCGCAGTTGCCAGGCTTATCAGTGCAGCGGCGCGTGCAAGAGAGGACTACCAAAGTCGGCGTTCCCCGACCCGCACAATGTCCCGCGCGACGCAAAGAAGGGCACCCTAAAGTGCAAGACGTGCAAATGATGCCCAATCGGTTGCGCGTACTAGGCAGACAAGGGAGGGCGGGAAGAGGAGGATGGGGGGTGAGGCGGAAAATGGGGGGGAGAAGCATCGGTGAGGATGAGCTGAAGCGGGGCAGGAAGAGGAGGAGGGGAACGAGGAGGAAGTGTAGGAGGAGGAGGAGGAAGAGGAGGAGGAGGACGGGGACACTGAGATGGGGCTCCGGGTTATGGGGTTGGGCGCGACTCGAAAAACCGGTGCGTTCAGGGATGTCCGTTGGGATCTTGCGGGGGGGCTTCTTGCGGGCCTCTTGGAGCAGTTTCGAAGGCTCTTGGGGGCCGTTTTGGGACCTCTTTGTGGTTTCTTGGGCGCCTCTTGGAACGTCTTGGGGGCCTCTTGGGGGGTTTTTGGGGCCTCTTTGGGGCCTCTGGGGGCCTCCTGGGGGCCTCTTGGGACGTAAGGCTGGGTTTTCCGGTGCGTGGTCTCTCTCTGGAGCCCCTCTTGGGCCCGTCTCCGGGAGGTTCTTGGGCCGTCTTGGGCGGTTTTTGGGCCGTCTGGGGGCTCTCTTGGGCCGCCTTGGGCGGCTCTTGGGCCGTCTGGGGGCTCTCTTGGGCCGCCTTGGGCGGCTCTTGGGCCGTCTGGGGGCTCTCTTGGGCCGTCTTGGGGGCGTCGAGGAGGCCTCTTGTGCCGTCTTGGAGCAGTCTTGGGAGCTTCTTGGGCTGTCTTGGAGCGTCGGAAGGCCGAAAAGGCGAAAATGACGAAAACATCAAAAAAAAAAAAACCAATGAAAATCAACGATTTTGGCCTCTTGGGGCGCTCCTCGGGGGCCTCTTGGAGGTCTCTTGGGGCGTCTTGGAGGTCTCTTCGGGCGTCTTGGAGCCCTCGTGGGGCGTCTTGGAAGCCTCTTGGGGCCTCTTGGGCGCTTCTTTGGGCGTCTAGGCGGTCTCTTGGGGCGTCTGGGGGCCTCTTGGAACGTCTGGGAGGCCTCTTGGGGCCTTTTTGGCCCGTATTTGGGTCTTTTTGGGCCCGGAAGAGCGTCGTGAGTCGCTCGTAGTCGGCACCCCCCCCCCTCCAAATCGACCGGACCGGGTTCCCCGGGGAGGGGTTTGGGGAGGGGGAAGCATCTCACACGCCGATGACCCAGGGGGTCGGCGGAATATATATAATATATCTTCATATATATTAGATCTTTATAAATATCATATAGATATTTATATTTATATATATATATGTGCATATTCGCCAGATGGTTAGAGAGGGTTGGATACTCCTCCTGGTCATTTCTGCACAGGCGTGGGTGCTCGAATCCACCCAGCTGGCTGCCTGATGCCGACGAGTTGAGCCTGGTACCCCGTCGTTGCGGCGCCGCAACTCTCAGCATCTGCCTGGTGCTTGAGCAGCAGCATATCTCTCCGTACATATCTGAAGCGCCCCTCTCGCGGAGAGTTCTGGCGACCGTGGTGCCTCTTCTCCGATTCCGCTGCGCATGTTTGTTTCGCTTCCTGGGCCCTGCGCTCGAGATATTCTCGACCTGGAGCTGGCCACTGACGGAGGCGAAGTCGTTCTTTTCACTTGCCCTGCAGGTTTTCAGTCACCAGTGTGTCGGCAGGTTTCCCTGCGGGCTTGGTCTGTGTGTCGGCGTTCCGTTCATTATCGGTGCTGGCTTCGCTCTGCCGTGCTTTTGATTCGTCTGGGCAGAGCTTGAGACTCGTCACTTGATGTGGGAACGACGGGTTGCGGGTTAGCGCGCCCGGCCGAACTGCGCAAGAAAGCACTTCGCAGGCAGATCAACGTTTCTGTTCCATGGATGCCCAGCGCGGTGGAGCCTGGAACCCTTCGCAGCGGTTCTGCCACGGCGGTCGGGTTCATGGTTCTCGGAGGTGAAGTGGTCGTGTACCTTATTTTTGTTCGACACGTTGCATTTTGATTATAATGTGCATGTAGACCTTTCCTCCAATTGGAGAGCCCACGATGGCCCCGAGTTGCACCCACACGCCTAATAGTGAGTCCAGATAGCTCCAGATAGCTCCGAGGCGGCCAAGACGCCTCCAAGACGTCCCTTGGGAAAGCCCGAAGAAGCTAACATAATCGATAAATAATATGAACAAGCTTGTGGACGAGATAAGAGCTGGGTGCAGCGGCGCTGGTTCCCTCCCCCAACCCATGGTATCCAAGACCTCCCCTCAGGGAAGCGGCTGCAGCGCGCGCGGGGCGCCACGTTGAGCGTGGACTTACCCCGACAGGCGTTCCGAGCGGCCAGTAGTGAGCTGCGCACGTAAGACCACGAGGTGAGGGAGCGGGGTTGGGGGGTGAGGGGTCCTTCGCTCGAAGACCTCCCAGGAGTTGCCTTTTAACCGGTGGAAGTTGAATAGATTGAAGTAAGGTTCTCAAGAGGGCATTGGACGGCCCCGTCGCCGTTGGCAGGTCGGAGCCATGTCGCCTACAATTTACTGCGTGTCTGGCGGTAGGCCTGCCTCTTGAAGCATTGGCAATCGCCCATGAGGATTTCAAGTCGAGGTGTGACTGGCGTCGACGTGTTCTGCAAAAAAACAAATCGTGCCATTCCTATGGGAAAACGTATATTTTTTGCATGTTCGCATCTTGGGCTTTCACCGCGTCCAAGACGACCCAAGAGGCCTCCAAGACGGCCTAGGAGGCCTCCGGGAGCGCTCCAAGGCTGCGCACGAGTGGCTCAGGACGGCCCCAAGACGGCCCAAGAGAACCCCAAGACGACTTCGAGAGGGGTCCCAGAAGGAGAAAGCCACTCTCGAAGTCCGAGCTTCCGGCCCAACATATCCCAGGAGGCGCCAAAACGCCGCCAAGAGGCGCCAAAAGGCTTCCAAAATCAGCCCAAGACGTTCCGAGAGGCACCCCAAGAGAGGTCCAAGAAGCAAAAATGGTCCCATTCCTATATATAAACTCACATATATATATATATACATATGCACACATATATATATATATATATATATATATATATACACACACGCACATATAACGGCGCACCGGGTCTGGGGGCCCGGGGCCGCGACCACGACCACAAATGTGTGTGCCCAGGCTCTCGGGGCGCCCCTGAGGCCTTCAAAACGCCCCGGGAACGCGCCAAGAGAACCCGAAGACGCCCCAAGACGGACCCAAGACACCCAAAGGCCGCTCCAAGATACCCAAGATGGCCCCCAAGACACCTCCAAAGGCCTCGCAGACGCTTTAGGAAACTCCCGAAAGGCCCCCCAGGACGTCCCCAAGAGGCAAAATGGCCCCATTCCCTTCGCAAAGCGTACAGTTTTAGCATATGTATTGTTTGTGGTTTTTCGCTGGTGTAACGTTTTAAGTCGCAGCGCGGGCCCCCCAAGACGCCCCAAGGTCGGCCCAAGTGGCGTCCCCGAGTGCCCAACAAGACGGCCCAAAAAGAGCTCCAGGACGGCCGAGAGGCGCCCCAGACTGCCCAAATCGGGGCCCTAAGGCGCCCAAAGAGAAGCCAAAGATTGGGAAATCCAACGAAATTCTAAGTTTTCCGCCAAATAGTGGGGTGACCCCCGGGAGGCCCCAAGAGGCCCCGAAGAAGCCCCAAGATGCCTCCAAGAGGCCACCCAGACGCCGCAAGAAGGCCCCACGGGGACCCCCGAGAGAGCCCTGAGAGCCAAAAGCTGTTTTATGTCCCGTAGATGTTCGAAGGATTTTGGTCATCTCGCCTTCTCGGGTTCCTGACGCTCAAAAACAGCCCAAGAGGCCCCCAAGATCGACCCAAGGAAGCCCGTCCGTAGCCATTTTGGCTCAAGCCGCTCTGGCGCAAGCCGTTTTTGTTTGGGGGCAACCGCTCTGCAAGTTCGCCGGGTCCTCCCAGCATCTCTCGGCGCGACACCATGGCTCGGCGGGTGGTGCTCGCGGTTGCTGTCCTTCTCGGCTGCGGCATGCTGATGTCCGCTTTTGTGCCCTTCTCGCCGATGGCCATCCGCCCCGCGGATCAGCAGCCTGCAGCGCTGGGAACGGCGATGACGCCTGACGACAGGATTGTCCTGCCGAGTGGGTGTTGCATTCTCCACTGTGATTCCAATGTCGCAATAGCTGAAGGGCAGAACTGCAGCAGCAGCAACAATCAGTCACTGAACATGTTGTCTTACACGTTGCACGGTTCGAATGCTCACCGCGTTGCTGGATGGAGCATCAAAGAGTGGCTGAAGTTTATAGGCTCTCTCGGGGTGGGTGCCAAGTTTGTGTTCCAGGTGGGCTCTTTTGGTGCATTTTTGGACGAGGTGCTCCCGTTATTGAAAGGCATGGACCCGCATCAGGCGCAACAGTGGCAAGGAGTCACTGCAGAGGCCAGACGGTGCAACGTTGACAAATTGAAGGAAGCATATGTTGAGCAGCTATCAGCAGGCACACTTCGCATAATACATACTGCTGTTACAGATGTTTGTCATGCTTCCACATTAAAATTTGTCGTACCCAGCCCAGCTTTCTCGGGGGGCAACGAAAAGTTCAAATGGAAATTCGGAACCGGAACGATCAAAGATAGTGAGAACGGGCAGAAAATGCAGACGTGGGGCGAAGGCCAGTTGGAAGAGCTCGAGGTTCCATGTGGCACAACAGACTATGTTATGCGCTTCGGGAACGTCCCAGAATCACCAGAGTTTGTGCAGGTTGATGCCGAATCGCACGATGCGCATATTCTGACTGGGATAGATTTCACCAAGTTCAGTCCCAAACTGATTCGATGGGAAAGTCTTCCAAACATGGAGAAGAAAGACATTTTGCTGGACAAGCTATATAGCCATGGCTACGTCACCATAAAAACTGATGTCGGCGCAGATCCGTCCGCGGTTCGGCCAGATGTTTTGTTCGCAGCGGTTGGAATGACTGTTTAGAGCGTCGACCCTCTGGGTCTCTGAGTTCCCATTGCTCAGCAGTGGAATTGTTCGGCGTCTCAGTTTGTGAGCCTTGGCATGTCAGGCCGGCGCAGCGAATTAGACGCAGTTCTTTTTCCCAACCATCCTGTGGTGTTGGGTCCTCGTTTTGAAGAGACAGCGCCCTGCGTTCCTCTCCTCTCCTCTCCTCCTCCTCCTCCTCCTCCTCCTCCTCCTCCTCCTCCTCCTTATCCTCCTCCTCCTCCTTGTTTCTCCCTCCTTCCTCCTCGACCCCCGATCGCCCCGCCGTGGCGCGGTGAGCGCCCCCGCTGGCCTCGGGAAGTAATCTGTGTGCCGTTCGCGCCGCGGCGCGTCAGGCTGCGCTGCTGGCTCGCAGGTGACGTCCGCCTGCGGTCAGCCCAGTGAATATGATGCATCTCTTTTCCTCCCAGAGCTGGTCGCTCCACCTTGCGCGCACGTCCTTGGGCGATCGACCAGAGAGGTGCGCGCGAGGCGGTTGTGTCTCTGGCGCGAAACCCCGCCAGCGCAGCTTCTTTCTCTTCACCGCGGAGGTTTATTGAATCGCTTCGCTCATTCCGCCGGCCCGTGATATGGCATCGCTGGTTTTTGTCTGTGTGTTCGTTGCCCATGTTGCGCTCTTGGGGGCGGGTGTCGTTCGGACGCGTTGCGTGGGGAGTTTTGATGGTGAAGCAGTTCCCTGGGGGCCGTCTCTCGATGGGGCGAAATAGAGTCGTCGTCAAGATGCTTCTTTGGGGGGCCTCTTGGGGTCTGTTGAGAGGCCGTTCGGGGGCGCCTGGGAGACATGTTTGAAGCCTTCTGGGGCTTCTTTTGGGCCTCCTGGGAGTCTCCTGGGGCCTCTTGGCGACATCTTGGGCCTCTTGGAGGCCTCTTGGGGCCTCTTTGGGACCGCGGGAGGTTTATTTCATTCTCCTTGCGTGTCGTGCCCGTGGCAATCGTTCAGACAAGTGACGCGACAGGCTGATGGCGTCTCCGTCGGTATAAAATCGACCCAAGAACCCGCGAAGGACTTAATTCTCCAAAGGGGACGCCTGGTCTACCCATCAGGGCCCCTTAAATGTTCCAGAGGCGCCCAGCACGACACAGGAGGGGACCCCAAAACGGCAACAACGTGGGAGCTCAAGAACGGTAGCCCCGAACCGGACATTCGAGCTTTCTGCACAAGATGGCCCCGAAGGAACCCGGTAGAGGCCCACATGACGCACAAGAAGGCTCCAAATAGGACTCCTTTCTTTTTATTTTTTTCTGTTGAGATTTTATCTGTTTTTGTTTTACTTTTCCCTATATGATAACAGAGAACCTAAATTCGTTGATTTTCTATGCGTCTTTTGAAGGACTTCGCCCTTCTCGCCTTGTCGGCTTTCCCAATCTCCATGCCGGCTCAAGGGGTCACCAAGACCGCGCCGAAACAGCCCGAGAAGCCCCCAAGAGAACCCCAATACGGCCAGGAGGGCCCCAAGACGGCTTACGAGCCGCCCAACACGGCCCAGGAGGGCCCCAACACGGCCACAAGAGATGCCCAATATGGGGGAGCCCGAACCGACATTTGGAGCCTTCCACTTCAAGAGGCCACCCAGGAGGGCCCAATAGATTCCCAAGAGGCCCCCGAGAGGCCCCGAGAGGCCCCAGGACGGCCGATGACGTTCGACGTACGCCGTACGACGAGACCCTCGCGGTTTGGTTGAAGTCCCTCAAGGAGCATCAGAAGAGGCAGTCGTCAGGTGGGCCCTGGGGAGTTCTTCCGTAGCCGATGTCGGTAGAACTGTTCCTCCTCCCCTCCTGCTCCCCCTTCTCCTGCTCCTCCCCCTCCTCCTCCTCCGCCTCCCCTCTCGCTCCCAGCGCCTTCTGTTCCTGCTGCTGCGCTTACTCGTTTGGACCCGGGGAGGGGTCTAGGGATCCGCTACAGGAGACGAAGATTACGACGACGACGACGACGATGACATTACGACGACGACGACGACGACGACGACGACGACGACGACGACGACGACGACGACGACGACGACGACGACGACGCCCAACTGGCTCCCCAAGACGCCCCCAAACCCATGCTCCCAGAAGGCCTTCTGGGAACCAGATTCATACGACTTCCGCCCCCCTACACAACCATTTCCTCGAAGGCCTTTCGGAATGCAGATTGGCACGCGTGGACTGTGGTCCACTACTTCAGTGGAGCAGAGAATTCGTCAAGGCCTGGGGCCTGCTAGAACCTGAGCGCGCGCGCGAAGCGCGCGCGATGGTTCTAGTGTATATATATGTATATATATATATATATATATATATATATATGTGTGTGTCTGTGTGTGTGTGTCTGTGTGTGTGTGTGTGTGTGTCCCAAGGCGCGTTCATTGACGGCCGCGGTAGGTGGATTCGGAGGCTCCCGAGGCCAGGGATGTGCCCAGGGGAGCTCGTGCACCCGCAGGGGTGGGCTCCAACGAGATCCCCGGGGAAGGGGGGCAGCCCAGCAGCCCACACGCCTTGTCACCCCCCGGCAAGCGGGGGTCGGCGGAGCAATGTCCTCCACCTCCCCCTCAATTCCTCCTCCTCCTCCTCCTCCTCCATTCCCCCCCTCCTGGAGTCTGACAGGTGCACTGAGCACACTCCGTGTCAGCCTAGCGTGAGACGACGCGACGCCTTCCGCCTCCCCCCTCGTTCATCCCCCTTCCTAACCCCTTCCTTCTCTTCGATCTCCACATCTCCTCGTCCATTCCCCCACTCCCCCTCCGTCCACCCGACACCCCTGTCCGCCTCCCCCACTTCCTCCTCCCCCATCGCCCCCCTTGCCCTCGCCCCTCTCACACGGAGGGAGAGATCGACACAAACATACAAAGACGCTGATTTCCATCATAGCATTTGAAATACGGGCACTGGGGGGAATCATATATAGTACAGTCACTCCACAGATTGAGGATGAACAACTTCCCAAGGCTGTCCCTGCATACTTTGCCTTCGGCTCATTCGTTGCCGCCCCCACGCCCCGCACGCAGAGTGTCGACAAGGCCTTCCTAGCGCGTCCTTACAATATGTGTCGACCGTGCCGAAAATGTATGGACACCTGTGGGGAGTCCTAGACGGCGTGCCGATTTTTGCTGTGCCTCCCTGGGCCCCCTGATCCTCCTCCACCTCGCCCCCTCACCCTCCACCTCCTCGCCCCCCCCACTCCCTCCCCACCCCCTTTGCCCCACTCCGCCCCTTCCCCCCCCTTTAGCATCGCACCCTACCCTCCGCCCTAATCTTCCCTTCCCCCTCGCGCACCAACCCTTTTCTACCCCTTGCCCGCAGGCGCTCTCCACCCCCCCACCACCCTCCCCTCCCCCCTACCGCATTCCCCTCCGCGCAGTTCCCCCTCGTCGCCCTCGCCCCTTCCCCCCCTCGCGAGGGCGGGGGCAGTGGCTGGCGAGGGGCGGGCGGCGCCGCGGCAGGTGCCCGCGGCGCCCCTCGCCCGCGCCGGCGGCGGCGGCGGCCACGCTGCGGCGGCGGGCCACGGCCTTTGCTCCATCCCGGGAGGGGCTGCGCGCCGGGCTCCGCGCTCCCCCACGGGGGGGGGGGGCGCTGCTCTCCCTACTCCTCCTTTCGCCTCCTCCTGCTCCATCTCCTCATTCTCCTTCCTTCTCCATCCTCCCTTACTCCCTATATCGTAACTCATACTCTTACTTCTCCTCCTCCCTCTCCTCCTCTTCCTCGTCCTCCTCCTACTCCTCCTCCTCCTCATCCTCCTTCTCCTCCTCTTCCTCCTCTTCCTTCTCCTCCTCCTTCTCCTGCTCCCTCTCCTTCCTCTTCTTCCTACAGCCCTAGGAGACGAACGTCTGTGGTGTCCACACGTGCACGAGAGACGCAGCCGAATCTCGCCCGCAAGAACCTGGCAACACTGCACTCGCCCGAAGGATCGAGTAGCACATGAAACAAGAACCCTAGACGGGAAACGCAACCCCAACATACATGGGGGCGCAAGCAGCCATGACGAGAAGCGCAACCCAACGGACGACGTGGGGCGCAAGGAATGGCGTATGAGGGCACAATAATGGAACGGCGGCTAAGCGCCACTCACTGGTAGGCGATCTCAGGACTCCTGGCGGCCATGTGGCAGTACATCTTGTCGAAGGCTGTCTCGTCGCTGAATAAAGGCAGGAAGAAAGCGGCCACCCCAGGCTGCCCTTCTCGAGCAGCAAGGTCGTACAACAGCTGGAACACCTGGTCGTTAGCAACTGGGTCCAAATGTTGATATTCGAAGGCGGCCGTTTGGAACGCCATGCCGAGAGACTTTTTCGTATGGGAGCCGATAGGCTCAAGACACGATGCCTTGACACGAATGGCCTCCGCACCAGTCTTGAAAGCCCAGCGGTCAGCAGCGTCGTCGTAGAAGCTCAGGGTGCCTTCGCGACCATTTAGCAGCGGCCTAGCCTTGAGGCCAACAAGGCGCGCGGCCATGCCTGGAGCGAATGTGTGCTTCTCGCTGTGCTGCTGAGGAGCAGTGGCCTTTCCGTGCCGCTGGGGCCTCACCACATCAATATCAGTCTCTGCCTTTGCACAGGGTTTGCTCTCCATCGCCACAGAGCCCGAACCAGTCGCGCCACCTGCAACAGACAGTTGCTCGCTGGGCGACTCCCCCTTCTCGTGCGCCAGGACTGGCCCGATGGACTCGGCGTACGTCTGGCGCTCGGAGCCCTCCTCCACCGCAGAACGCATGGCCGGCGGCGTACCAGAGAAGCCCTCGAAGAAAACCGGAAAGGGCTTCACGACAAGACGGATGTGGGACTCGCCTTTGGAGTTCTTGTGCCCGTGGTCCACGATGATAGCGTTGTCGATGTCCAGCAGCACCATGTGGAGCAAATTTATCATGAGGCTGTTCCGCATAGTCGGCTCCCAGACGGGGAACTGGCAGATCTGCATGATCAGCTTGTCGCTGTGGCTGCACAGTTTGACAACGCCTTGGCGGTCATTCGCTAGCTCCTGGATGATCCAATGGAGCCTGGCTGCTGAGACCATGGCGGCGCGGGGGGCAAGGGGGGAAACAGCGGCTCGCAAGTGCAAGAGAATAGCCCCTCCTCAGGCAGACGCCTGAGCCACGGGGGCACGCTCCCTCTCCTCCTCCTGCTCCCTCTCCTCCTCCTCCTCCTCCTCCTCGCTACTCCTTTCTCCTCCTGTCTCCTTCTCCTCCTCCATCTCCTCCTCCTCCTCCTCCTCCTCCTCCTCCTCCTCCTCCTCCTCCTCCTCCTCCTCTTCTCTCTCCTCCTTCCTCCTCCCTACTCCTTTCTCCTCTTGTCTCCTCCTTCATCCTCCTTCCCCCATCCTCCCCTTTCTCTTCAACCCCAATCCGCCTCCTCCTCCTGCCTCCATGCGAGTTGAGGTGCGCCCCAAGCAGTGGGTGTACCCAGGTGGCAGCTCCCCGGCTCATTCATGACTCGCAGACCTCGCAAGTTTGGTCAGTGGCTTTCTCCTCCATCCTCCCTCCCTGCCCCCTCCATGTCACAGTGAGCGGACTTCAATCTTCGGGATTGTAGATTCGGTAGGCCAACAACTCGTCTGGCAGTGTTGGCTTAGGCCATTGGGCCAACAAACTACGCCTGGCGGGCGTAGCAGAACATGAAGAAGGTTACAGAGTCATGGTGAAATAATACATGCCCTTAGGGGCGCAGAGTATACGCTAGCCAGGCAGTGCTGGAAGAGGAGGGAGTACGCGTACAAAGGAAAAAACGAGTTGCATGCCAAGATGCGTCGTCACTGTTTGCCTGTAGCCCTCAGGAGGACAACAGGGGTAGGCCGGGCAGCTGCGAGAAGTGGTTGACGCTGAATGCGTGTGTGTGTATATGTAAGCATAGCTGTGTAATGTTCGCCGTGGAGGGTAATCCGCGGAGTCCATGCTGGCTGGTCCTTCCCCACCTCCACCGTTGACCCTCACTACTAAGCCAATCTCCTTCGTGGTATATGAAGCAACGCGATTTGTAGGTTGACCTTTGTCTTGACTCATGCAAGTAAGCTTGTAGGCTGGCCATGTAGTCGATGGGGCACAAGATCATAGATTACGTAAGCGGAAACGTTCTGCAGGTGCTTGGTGGGGGGCATTACCCTAGCATTAGGGGGCCCGATCACGCTCATGGAATTTGCGCGAGGAGGCGTCAAGAGAAAGGTAGCAGCGACGCGCTTGGGCGAGAAAGTACCACCCCCTCCAAGACGCTCCCTCCCTTTATCCTCAGCCACCATCTTCTCCAATCCAACGCCCTCATCGGGAAAGTGCGGCGGCTTGATAACAAGATGGCCTCACTGAGGCAGTGTTCCTGCAGGCTATGCCGCGGTAAACTCCCTCAGCATCCTTTTTTCCCCAGCCCGTCCCACAATAGAGGAGGAGAAAGTGGGAGGCGGAGGGAAGCAGATGCTCATCGGATCTCTCCAAAGAAGCAAGAGTAGCAGAGGCTGTGCCGAGTGCCGAATGGCAGACGAGTGCGCAGACAGTGACGCGCCCTGAAACTGAGCATGGACGAGGGAGGCGTCAAGAAAAAGATAGCAGATGCGGCGCTCGGGCGAGCAAGGATAGATAACCTGCATGCAACGTCTCCTCCCCCTCCTTGGCCAACACGCGTGCCGGAACAGAGACAGCGCAGAGAGTTCAGGCATGCTAAGCGAAGCGTCTAGAAAACAATTCGCGCGGGTGCAATGTCGGCCGAGCTCCCGAAGCAGATGCGCGGTGTCACCTTGGGCAACGCGGCTCGCGCTATCCTCTAGGCCGTGCCTCCTGCAAGCGCTGGAAGAGCACAGGCGCCAGTCCCTCGGATATGTTTTCAAATGCCTTCTGACTGCACCGAACTTGCATCGTCGCACAACATATGGAATCAGGTATGTACATGTCACCGCAATGTATGCCAGAAGCGGAAGTCAAGTATAGATGGTCACAGAGACATGTTCTCCAAACAGGTTTGCCCTATAGGAGTCCTAGCTGAAACCCTGCTAATTGGTCTGTTGCCCCCCCTCGTCCTTATGCCCCCCCCTATTTCCTATGGTTATGCCTATGCCTATGCTTCCCCTAACTCCTATGCCTACGCCTATGCATATGCCTGCTTGCGTGCTTGCTTGCGTGCTTGCACGCTTGCACGCTTGCTTGCGCGCTTGCGCGCTTGCTTGTACGCTTGCTTGCTTGCTGAGTGGCGGATTCCAAGCATGCTTGATTATCATGATTCCTTGATTTGAGTCGTCTAAGCTATTTGGGGTGAACGCTGGCTGATATTTATGAATCCGGCTTTTGGTTATCCAAGAAGCGAAGTACGATGTCCACACGATCATTTGGTTGAGCGATCTTCGTCCTGAAAGTTTCATCGAGGTACTCGTCGTTGTCGTCGCCGGGGGAGGCGTGGGTTGCGTCGCCGTGTTCGGAACCATCTCCTGTGCTGGCCATCCTTGGGTCAACGCGCACTTCATGTTCTCCAACCTTCGTGTCCACGCATGCATCCAACTGGGGTATGACATCTGACACGATATGAGACTGACCAGTAGTATCACCGTTCTCAAAGTTATCGATGGTGTGACTTCTACTTGAATGTGTGCGGCCACCTCACGTGCCATGCTGTACCCGTTGCCATTGCTCCGATCGCCTTCGCCGAGGTAAACGCCGCGCACAGCAGAACAGAAA